TTTTACTTTCTCAGATGTTAGCTACCCTAGGGCAGTAGGGAACCACTTGTTCAGTAGCTCCTAGATCTCTTACTATTCTGTTTTTTTCCCTTCCTGGGAGCTTCATTCTCTCAGAGCAACTTTTTCCACCAGCCGTAGGTTGGCTCACACAAAGCTTTGACACACACAAGAGGATCTGGATTTTGTTCATCCAGTTGTAATTTGAAATACCCAATTAAGTTGACAAATTGGCCAGACTTGGGTTACAGATTCACCAACTGAGCCAGGTGAGTGAGACACCATGATGGGTTCAAATGAGAATAAGTATCCATTAGCAACCAACTGACCACACCAGGAAGGCAGAAGAACGGAAGAACATGGAGACTCCCCTCTGAAACCAGAGTTGGGGAGGAGGGAGAAGGAGCATTTCTGAGGAGAGCTGTGGTGTGGGGAGGTGAGGTGTGTACGAGTGCGCTGGGGACACTCAGCACTATCACCAGATGCCACAAATGCTTCCCAGATTTCCCTGCCCCCCATCTCAACCCCTCCCAACCCTCACACCAAATGCTCACTGTTTTTTTCCCCCACATAGTTACTGGTGAGCCTCTTCAAAATCAGCAACTTTGATGGAAATAATATCCTTATGATTTTCTGGAATTAGTAAGCTTCACAGTGGGCACAGACTGTAGGCCAATGGCACCTTCTTACCAGAGTCACCTGAAGTGAAGTGGGTGGAAATGCTCTTTTCTTCATGAATTATTCCACCTGCAGTTTGCTTGCACATTATTTTACTTCCCTTTTCACATCTGTCGCCTGGCTCAGCCCTCTGCCACCTGGTGCTGTCTATGACTCCTCCCTCCCCCCATATTTAACAACGCCATTGCCATTCAGGGCATCCTCCTTCTGCAGGGCAGCAGGGGCCCCCAGCAGTCCCATCCATGTGTCCACTGACTTGTAAACAGTCATGAGTCCTACAACGTTAGCACCAGAAGGGCCTGTAGCATCTGGTCCAATCCTTTTATCTTATGGGAGGAGAAATGAGGCCAAATGACCACATCTGACTTTCTCAAGATCACCCAGTATATTAGTGGGAAAGCATAGCTAAAGTCTTGGTGTTTTCTAGTTCCTAACCCAGTGGTGCGTCCAAGGACTGGACAAAGCAACCAGCAAAAAACAGAAAGAGGGGTGGTACAGAAAACCACTCAAGCAGCGTCTCAGCCTCTTTGGCCAAAATCCCCCACCATCATCCTGATGTTTTAATTCTCTTTTAAAGTAAATATGCCCCCTTTACGGTCACGTGCACTGCAGGACCCAAGACAGGGCAGGCCTCCCCTTGCTTGCTCAGCAGATAGTTATCAAGCCACTATCATGCTCAATGTGGAATGCAAAAACGAAAAACAGAAAACAAACCCCAACCAACCAAACAAACAAACAAAAAACCCATTAATTATGGTCCCTACCATCTGAAAGTTTTCAACTGGTTTGGGGAGAAAGGCCAAAAATACTCGATCAGGTTTAAGATACAAGGACTGTCAGAGAGCAGGACATGATGTCATCAAACAAAAGAGACCAGGCTTCCCAATACTGCCCTTACTCTTTGCATCTGACGATCATCTTATATAAAAGAAAATGTAATAGAAACTTCCCCCAAGCTGCATAAAGGTGCCCCTGAATCTCCAGTTTACCAGGTGAGTAAATAAAATTATTGTGAGTAAGGGATGGACATCAAGTGCCAGGAGTTCAGAAGATAAGAGTATTTGGGGGAGACTCTACTGACTGGGCTCTGATTTCTGCCCCATTTTGAGAAAGGAAGAGACAGACATCATCAGTCCCTCATTTGACATACAAGAAACAGAGATCCCATAGCATGGGAGGGAAATAGAACCAGAATTCAGAATGCCTGTTTTGTCAACTTTCCATTATCATTATGGAAACAAAAGATGCCACCATTTAAAAAATCAAATAGTACTACAAGGCTTATAACAAAAAATAGTTCCTTGCTTCACTTGCTGCCCTTACCTGAGAGGCAATCACTTAGACTTTTAGCCTAAAAGTTTCTTATGCTCTTTACCATCTTAGTTTCATATATCATGCTTATGTGGCTAGTTCTTGATTATTCCTTCTATGGACATCTTACTATGGAATATGAGATTTTAGCTCTCTTACTCCTCTCCTTTCTAGTTACATAACAATTTTTATCAAATCAATATTAATGTTCACATTAGTATTTACATAAACTTTGTTCAGAGAAGAGTCATATAGTACATTGCGATTACATTTTCTTTCCTGTATAACTTTTGGTTTTCCCTGGAATTAATAATCATCTTTTCATTGTTGTTATTGTTGTTTAATTGGTTTTCTATGTATCTATCATTAATTCATCTTCCAACTTCCTGATAGAATTATAAAATTCTTTCTAATACATTCAAACACATCAGGTGATCTCCCAGTTTCTTTCTTTTCTTTCTTTCTTTTTAAAATTTGGATGTCTCCATATCCAGCAATCCTGCATTTCTCTGTCTGCCAGTCTGATATGGACGTTTTCCTTAGGATTGATGCATAACTACTATTCTGAAACTTTCTTTCATCTTCATCCTGGGATTTCCCTCTACCTCTCTCATGTGTTAGGCCTACATTTTTTTCAGGAATCTGGTTTGTATTTTCTAGAGAATGGGTGAATGGGAAGTGAATTTTTGAGACAATGTATGCCTGAAAAATACCTTTATTCTATCCTCATGATTAGTTTATATTTTGGTTGAATATAAGGGTCACAGTTGTAAATCATTTTTCCTTTTTCAAGGCCTTTTGAAGTCCTTGATGTCTTTGTCCCTTACCAGTAATGCTGTTCAGAAGTCTGGTGCCATTCTGATTCCTTGACTTTTCTGAGTATGACCTGTTTCTTTCTCTCTGAAAGCTTTTGGAATCTTCTCTTTATCCCTGAACATCATCACAATGATGCTTTCATTCACTCTGTCAAGTACCCATTGGCCCTTTTAATTTGGAAACAAATGTACTTCAGTTCAGGGTTTCTATCATGATTTCATTTCTCTCTTTTTTTGTTTGCAACTCTTATTAAGAAGATATTAAGCATCCTGGATTTGTATCTAATTGTTTTCATCTTTCTTACTTCCTAATTTTTTTGTCTTTCTGTTTTACTTCCTGGTAGATTTCCTCAATTTATTTTCCAACTCTCCCCTTGAATTTTTTTTCTGTCATATTTGTAATCTCCATGAGTCTTTCTGGTTCTCTGAATGCTCTCTTCTCTTTCTTTAAAAAGCATCAAAGAACACAGTATCTCTTTTTACTTCAATATGAAAGTATTTTTTTTCTCTCTCCCTGCATTGTCTCTGTTTCTTCCAAGTTTCCCCCCATTTTTCCTCATTTGTTTGTTTTGGTCTATCTCTGATGTTGGAGGATTCCCTCAAATGTTTGATGGTCCTTGATGGTTGGTTCACAGTTAGAAGTGAGGCACTAAAAATCTATTTGAAAGTTGAGCATATGTGGGAGGTTTGAGGACAGGTGGGCTGCACCAAAGCCATTGCACTGTGAGGAAAATAACAGATTCTGTAGAGTTTTTCTCTTGAGCTGGACAGTTTCCCAATGAGATTACTCCTCCACACTCCTGCCCGGTGGTGGGAGGGTGGGAACTGGGGAGGTGTAAGCCTTTTCCAGCATTCTTCCAGCCAAGTTGGATAAGGGAGATGGGGCACACGTCGTGGCATTACCGTTCAATATACAAGTTCAATGAGTCTGCCCCTCATCAGTAAATTGTCTTACTTCTGTCCTTGGTGGATCCTAGCTCCTAAGCCTTGAGTCTATCTTGTTTAGCCTCTCAGTCTTCTTCCTCCTCACACAAGCTTTCAACCAATCTTCCTGTTTTCTGCCCCACCCAAACCAACACCTGCCCTGCCACCCCTTTCAGAGGGTCCTGGTCATCTAATCCCTCAGCCTGTCTAGGGCTTGGAGATGCCAAAGAGCTGGCTTTTTGTTGGCTTCCAACTCTTGCGAGGCTAGGCTTTTCTGGCATGGTAGCTTAGTTTCCACTTATCATAGTTTTTGTGTTTTTTAAAGTTTTAAAATTTGTAGTTGGTTTTTGAGGTTTGTACATTCTCTTGAACCTTTATGCTCTTTTCCCCATTTATTGTCATTTTAGTGAGGGTTTAATAAAATTATGTGTTCAGTAGACCATACTTAACTGTCATTTCCATGTGTCTGCTTTGAAATCCACTCTTCTAGCTGTCTTCTTTTTCTCCTTGTCCCATTTTTTCTCTCTTCCTTCCCTTCCTCCTTCTCTCCCTCCTCTCTTCTTTCCACCCTCCCTTTCTCTTTTTCCTTCCTTCCTTCCTTCCTCTCTTTATTTCCTTTAGAATGGTGTTCTTCCCTCCTTGAAGGGCCTTGGGGAGTCTGCTCTTTTCCGCTCTTTGAAATACTTTGAATATAAATAGTACCCTGGACTCTGGCTTTAATTTGAGCACATTACCTTTCTTCAGTGGACTTAGAAATAATAACATCCCACAGAATTTGTGCTTCCTAATCTTTTCCCTTCAGTGTGGTTGCTGAGAAAACTCCCTTTGGTATTTCTAGGAAATGGACTATTATCATTTCATCCATTTCAGGTCTGGCAATTTTTTGTTCATAGCTTGGGTTCCAGAACCTTGTCCAGGGAACATAGGAGAGGGCAAAGAGTATACTCTTGACCAGCAAGAAAAATGGGGCCAGGATGAGGGTGGGAACAGGTATTAATTACTTGATGAATAAATTTAAAAATATGTATTGAGTGTCTACTATATTATAAGCACTGTGATAGGTACAGAGGATGTAAAATGAGTAAGGCATTCAGAGTCTGGCGGTAAGACAAATAAGCAAGCGAATAGAATATAATGTGATAAGTGTACTTCATGCTCAACAAACGTTAATTTAACATCTACTGTATGTCAGGTACTATACGAGGCACTTTAATTTTATTAATTCCTCATAATATCATTGTGTGTTAGGCATTATTATGCCTATTTTACTCTAAGGAAACTGCCAACATAGAGGAATATGCAAATGACTATGAAGACAGAGACATGAGACCTCTCTTTGGTGCTTGTTGGCCGGGCAACCAGGGCTACGCCCTCCCAGAGGCTCTGGTGAGCACCAAAGATATGCCTGCAACTGGGTCTTCAGACTTGGGCCTCACCCATCCTGCTGCTCCCTTCCAACTCCAACTCCAAGGAGAGTGTCTCATCTAGGACCTGAGGAAGAAAGCCAGTTCTACGGGTCAGCAGCAGTATTGCTGAGCCCTGTCTTCAGCACGGAAAAAGTGAGGGAAAAATAAGTCATGAAAGCCTTGAACTAAAACTGTCCCAAACCACAGGAAATTCTTAGATGTGAAGTCCTTTTTCTTTCTCTCACTTTTTCCCCCTTTTCTTTTTTTGTCAGTAACAAACATACACTCGCTCAGAGATGGCCATGATGACAGCTGATGGGGAAGGTGGAGGGGGGGCGGGGAGGTGCGGTCCAGAGAGATTTTTTAGAAAGGCAGCTCAGCTGGCCCCCAGAGGAAAATCAAGGGGATCACATGGGTGAATTGGGGAGAGGGACACACACACACACACACGCACACACACAAAACTCTCTGAACTTAATCAGGTTGTAAAACTCTGTCTTTGAAACAGGAACTTGCCTTGGGTCTCCTGAACCGAAAAGCACAGATCTCGCCTTCCTCCTGGAAGTCACCTTGTCCTTTGGAGCCGCTGGCTGCAGGAGGTGGCTTCCTCTGGCTGGTGACAAGCTGGCTCCTTGGTGCGGAGAGCTCTCGGTCTTCCAAAACCAGGGCCGGGGTAAGTGGAGGCTGCAGACCCACAGGGCCTCCCTGGGGGGCTCCTCTCAGTTTGGTTACCTAAGGACTAGATCGAGGAGGTTTTTGTGGGGTGGGGGACACCGGGACTCCTATGTATCGAGAAAAGGAAGTGGGGGCGGGGTGCAGACAGAGATTTTGCCAAATTACAGATGGAGCCGACTAGATCCAGAACAATTCCCAAAGGAGGTCCTCCCACACCCACAGGAAGGCCATGAAAAAAAAAAAAAAAGCTTGAAATTCAAATTATTTTTGGTGCTTGGGAGATGAGAGGGGAGGGAGAGAAGGCAGTGGTAGTAAATAGGAACAGAAGGGGGAAGAAAAAACAGGAAGGCTTGCTGGTATCTTTCCTAAGGAACAGCTCAGGAGAGCACCAAAGGGTGTAGGAAATGTAGCTGGACTCAAACAATACTTTTTATTATGTGTCCACGGGCAAGACTGGAAAGGAGAATCGTCACAAATTTTGTGTATCTGGTTTCTGCCCTGAAAGAAGCGGCTGATCCCCCTTCTCCTGTTTTTAGCCTCTGCTTTTGAGAGGACAGGACAGCGATGTTTTGCCCACACTACCCACATGCTGTCTGCTCCTCTCAAATGCATTTCACTGGCCTGGTTTCCTCCAAAAAGCTTTCCTGCTTTCATGATTGTTGTCGTTGCTGTTGTTGTTTCTGCTGACATTTTTGCTTTGGGCTCAAAGGATGGAAACAAAGTGGGGGGAGGAGAAAGATGGACGCCATGATGAGAGATGAGAAAAGAGTAACTATATTTGAGAATTAGGTAGAGGGAGGAATAAGAGACCCTGCTCCCTGGTCGAGGGCTTTATTTAGTCTTGCCCGGTGTTCATGTTTGCCATTTCTTGAAGGGAATGATTTGGATTAGATAGGGTTGCCAGAGAGATAGATCCAGGACACCCAGTTAAATCTGAATTTCAGATAAACAGCAAAACAATACCCCCGAAAGCTGACTTTGTGGTGTATTTGAAGTAGTTCTTAAATCCCCTTGCTCCAGGGGTGTGTTAATGGTGGGTGCTCACAGGGTAGACTGCGGAAGGCATTCAGCTTCTGGATCTGCCTGAGGTGAAGTGAGAGCCAGGTGTCACACTGGGTCTTCTCTGCTCCCACCCTCCTGGCACACCAGCCCTTCCTCACTTCTAAAAAAGGAAAGAAAGGCGTTGTCCTAGATTGTAAAAACCTCCAGGGCCAAGACAAGGAACAATTAGAAATATTTGTGTTTGTGTTGGGAAAGCAAAAGCCTTTACGACTGAGGTAGCAATCATTTCACAAATTAGGTGGTTTCCAATTTATTGTTTTCCTTAAAACTTGGAGAAAAACCCATTCAAGTCAACCACTGATAAATCATTAACATAATTAAAAAAAAAATAGACTTCATTTTTTAGAGCGGGTTTTAGGTCCCCAGCCAAATTAAGCAGAAAGTGCAAACAGTTCCCACATGCTCCCTGCCCCACAACCTCCCCCGTAGAATAAATTTTGAAGGAAGGTCTCAAAGTGATGTCTGACCTATAATGTGAAGGAGTCCAAAGAGTTGAATGACATGGCCAAATTTGGCACTGCTGAAAAACAAATCTCATGCTCCCCAGCAAAGGTGGACTGGCTACAAATCTTCATATAGGGTTTGTATTCATTAAGTGATTGAGTCATTCCACGTGCACCTCTGAAACCATAAGCCCAGAAATATGTCCCTGATTTCCTTCCTTCTTGTCAGCCGTGGATGGACATTGTCATAACAAAATTCCTTGTGGCCCCATCTACCTGTTAACGTGAACAAGGTTTCTCAGTGGCTTACATTCATAAAAATGAGAAATAATGTTAATATTGATGCTAAACCTGTTCCTTCTTGCAATAAGTAATATTAATGGATGGCTATTTGAACTAATTACATGTATATGTAAATATATACAAATACATATATGTAAAAATCCACCCTCTATTAGGAGAGATAATTCTCATTAGGAAGATAATTTCCAACATTTTACTATTTTGTGTTTAATGATCAATAAAATACATATTTATTGTATTACTGAGAATTGTAATAATGACCTAGTCTCAGGAAATGTTTTAATACCTTCCAGTCACAGGATAGTTTTTGAAATTGTAAAATCAATTTACACATGCATGTTTGTTTCAAAAAATATGATAATCAGTAAAAGATGCCCAAATGATAGATGTTCAAAGAATAAAAGATGTCATAAAGATATATGACATTTGGAGACAAATCTTTAAGAGAAAAGGAAGGAAAATGTAGTTCACGGAGGAAAGGGAATGATTGAGCATTTCTGTTCATTTTGAAAAAGGAAAGATGGTGTCAAATTACTATGGTACTTAGATTCTATTGGATGCATTAAAAAGGATGATATAACAAGTTTTATTTTAAAACATTTGATGAAAACAATCTGCAGACTACATCCTCTGCAAGCACTCAAACCTACGATGAAAAGCTGGAGACGTCAACTTAAAAATGTGGGAAGGGTTATATGGTCTTCAGCATTTTTTAGGGGTGTAAGTGAAGAAAAGTTTGAAGACCTCTGCTTTATATCATTCTCTTGCTAACGTTTCTGTTCAAAATATAGTACTTAGATTTCCAGATCCTTTACAACTTTGCACAATAAAAATTACAGGCATCATTCTACCGACAGTTTCTGAGGTGCCCTAGTCCAGAGTTCTGTGTCGCTCACGGTGCTGGCCATCTACTCTCAACTGGGTGGTAGTTACAGGGTCATGCACAAGGGCTTAAACTGGAGAAACCAGAAATAAATTAGCCCCTCGACCTCACGGCTGAACTATTTCGAGAACACGCAGTTCCATTTCAGTGACCATGATTTGACTCATGGCCTGCTCAGTAACATGTAATTATAAGCTGCATTCAACGGACTTCTACTGTACTGCTTGCTTCTCACCTTCTGAATATGGGGGAGCCAGAGCAGCATTTTATGGTAACGAATCGAAGTGATCTAACCAACCCTCAAGTGCACCCTGTCCTAGGAGAGTGACTCTGGAATGCCAGGTGAGGTTCTGGAGTTTCTCCGAGTATCAAAAGTGTGCTTTTTAAGGAAGGCAGAAAAATGGACGGAAGCCACCATATACCCCAATAGCGGAGGAGATGCACATGGGGGAAGCTCTGTCATAGGGATTGTAGCCGGGGAGGTAGAAGAGTGATGAAGCGTCGCTTTTCATATCACAACTAAAAACTAATTGTTAGTTCACCACAAATTAAATGCTGCCAGCCACAGTCTGTGAAAGTGTGCTTAACCAGCATGTGGGCTTTGTAAGTAGCGATGCCTTTGTTCAGCGAGGGTCAAGAGGGATATGTTGCACCCCAAGTGATTTTTAAAAATAGATAGTATCTATTTAAGCACAAAACTGTCATAATATTTTTTTAGCTTAACGTTTTTCTTCTTAGTTAATGTTTTATTTTGAGATAATTGTGGATTCACATGCAGTTGTAAGGAATAGTTCAGAGAGATCCAGTTTCCCCTCGTGGTAGCATCTTGCAAACCACGGTCCGCTAACACAACCAGAATATTGACACTGATAGCGCCAAGAGTAAGATTTCCATCAGCACAAGCTCCAAGCCCCCTGCCCTTTTATAGCCACACCCACCTCCCTCCTACCCCACACCCTTCTTAACCTTGACAATCATTTACTGGTTCACCGTTTCTATAGTGTCATCATTTCAAGAATGTTATATAAATGGAATCAATCTACAGTACGTAACCTTTGGGGACTGGCTCTTTTCACTCAGCATACTTTTCTGAATATTCATCCTTGTTGTTGTGTATATCAGTAGCTCCTTCCCTTTTCTTGATGAATAGTATTCCATGGTATGGATCTACCACAGTTTAATTATTCACCAGTTGAAGGACATCTGGGTTGTTTCATTTTTGGCTGTTATCAATAAAGGGGCTATAATCATTATAAATAACACAGGTTTTTGTGTGATCACGTCTTCATTTCTTTTTTTTTTTTTTAAAGATTTTATTTATTTATTTGACAGAGAGAGAGGGAGCGCGAGAGAGGGAACACAAGCAGGGAGAGTGGGAGAAGGAGAAGCAGGCTCCCTGTGGAGCAGGGAGCCCGATGCGGGGCTCGATCCCAGGACCCCGAGATCAGGACCTGAGCCGAAGGCAGACGTTTAATGACTGAGCCACCTGGGCGCCCCTTTTCCTTTTTTTTTTAAACTGAAGATTTTATTTATTTATTTGAGAGAGAGAGAGAGAGAGCGAGAGCAGAGCGGGCGGCAGAGGCAGAGGGAGAGGGAGGAGCAGACTCCCTGCTGAGCAGGGATCCCTATGCGGGGCTTGATCCCAGGACCCCAAGATCATGACCTGAGCAGAAGGCAGATGCTTAACTGACTGAGCTGCACCCAGGTGCCCCTCATGTCTTCTCTCTCTAGGATGAATGCCCAGGAGTGCAATTACTGGATCATATGATAGTCCCATGTTTACATTTTAAAGAAACTGTCAATCTGTTTTCTATAAGAGCTGTAACATTTTACATTTCCACCAGCAATGTATCATGATCCAGTTTCTCTTCCTCCTCACCAGCATATGACATTGTGGCTATTTTTTATTTTAGCCATTCTGATAGGTGTGTAGTGATATCTCATTGTGTACAATTTTTTGTATCTTTTGTATCTTTTTTGTATTTTTTCCATTTTTATTGAGGCATAATTGACATATAACATTGTATTAGTTTAAAGTGTACAATATAGGGGTGCTTGGGTGTCTCCGTGGGTTAAGTGCTTGTCTGATTCTTGGTTTTGGCTCAGGTCATGATCTCAGGGTCCTGGGATGGAGCGCTGCACTGGGCTCCAGGCTCAGTGGGGAGTCTGCTTGAGATTCTCCCCCTCTCCCAATGCCCCTCCCCCCACACCCTGCTTGCAGGCATGCGTGCTCTCTCTCTCTAAAAAAATAAAAATAAAAAATTTATTTATTTTTTCTTTTTTTAAAGGTTTTATTTATTTATTTGT